GACCGAATCAGCCCATTTTACAGAGGAGGAAACTGAGGCTCGGGGACAGCTTGGCCAGGCCCTGAGGCTAACACTCGGCTCCACAAAGTTTCCACCTGCCTCCTGCCCCTTTTCAAGTCAAGACTCCAGGGACTCCCCCGGTGGTCCAGTGGTTAAGAAAGGCTCTGCTCCCAGTGCGGGGGCCTGGGTTCGATCCCCAGTCAGGGAACTAGATTCTGTGTGTTACAGTGAAGATCCTGCCTCAGCGAAGACCCTGTGTGCTGCGACTAACACCAGGCACAGCCAAGTAAAAAAGGTGAAGATTCCAGAAAGGGAGGTCACAGTTAGGGAAGAAGACCCCAAAGGAAACAGCGAGGCTGAGTTTCCTCAGTTCAGGTGAAACACGGCGCCCAACGAAACCCAGTGTGTGACGCCAGGGAGGCCGTCCAGCCGCCTGGACGCTGCGGCCGCGGGGCGGGGCAGCCTCGCAGCCCTCTGCGGAGGGGCCCTTATGCAGAGCGCCCTGGCCGGAGACTCGGCCTGAGAGAGCGGCAGATTTCAGGCTGCTTCCCTTGATGAGCTCAGTGTCTTCTGCTAAACTCACAGAGAGCAGGCCCCCTCCAGCCAACAAGCTCACAGTGAGCCCCCGCCGCGGCCTGCCCATGGCTGTCACTTGACACTGCATCAGAAGCATCCTCAGCTGACCTGGGGAAGAGATGGACCTGGGCAGGCAGGACCCCGGGCTCCAGGACCCAGGGCTCTCTTCCCTGCTTGCAGCCAGCAGACTGAACAGGTGCCCCAAACGCCACACTGGCGTGGGGGGCGGGCTGGACGCAAGCACAGACACCTGTGCATTCCCTGCCAAGACTGAGCCCCACGCCAGGCTCCCCTGAGGTCTGTCCTGTGGCCAAGGTCTCGGTCAGGGGCAGAGACAGCATCTCCTTTCCCATGAGGATGCAAACCGGGAAGGGAGTGATGAGGGGCCCACCTTCCATGTGTGTGCCACGCACGTTAGGCCTGTCTCCAGGCCCCACGCCCTCCCCCGGGGACCTAATAGAGTTCAAGGGGAGGGTGGGAAAGCCAGGGTTCTGCTTTTGTTTGTTTTTTTTTTAGCCTAGCTGGTCTTTGTTGTGATTTAGTTGCCCCGAGGCAGGTGGGACCTTAGTTCCCTAACAGCCCCTGCACTGGGAGGCGGGTTCTTTACTGGACCAGCAGGGAAGTTCCCAGGAAAGCCGGCCTTTATCTCTCTGTTTCCACCCAACAATATCTCTTAATCATTCCACAAAAACTGACTGAGCACTGCCATGTGCCAGGTTCCAGGTAAGGCTCTGGGGACTCAGTCCCTGCCTCCCTGAAGGCCACAGCCCACAGGCAGGCAGATGTTAAACAATCACACAAACCCATCGCTACGGGCTTCCCTGATGGTTCAGCAAGCAAAGGATCTGCCTGCGATGCAGGAGGCCCAAGAGGTGCAGGTTGGACCCGAGTGGAAAAGATCCCCTGGAAGAGGAAAATGGCAACCCACTCCAGTGTTCTGGCCTGAAAAATCCCATGGACAGAGGAGCCTGGCAGGATATATCTGTGGGGTCGCCAAGAGTTGGAGACGACTGAGCGACTGACATGTGCACGCAGGCATACGTCACACATGTTACACACCAGGACATGCCCGTGGGGTGGCGGAGAACGCCAGGGCTTAACTGGGATTGAGCGCAACAGCCCAACACTCCAGCTCAACTCTCCAAGGGCTGATGCTGGTCCTGGGGACTCCACACGGTCACTGGACGACCTGCCCTGCATCCTGGCTGCTCGGAACAAGAGAACTGGGCCTGGCGACGGCCCCGTCCATTCAGCCAGGGGCTCTGCCTCTGGGCCAAACTCACAACTGCTCCAGCCTCCAAGGGCCCTCCCACCTCCCAACGGATGTTTGGATTTTAAGCCAAACCCAAGGAATACGGGATGTTGTGGGCGCTTTTTTTTTTTCTTTCCTCTTTTGCTTTTTTTGGAGGGAGGCAGTATTGGATTTCAAATTTTCCATTCCATTTCGCTTACACAATTACATTTTCACAAATCCAGCTAAGGCAGTGGTTCTCCACAGGGATGACTTTGCCCCCCAGGGACATGTGGCAACATCTCGAGGCATTTGCATTGTCTGGGAGGGCGGGGGAGGCGAGTGGCATGCAGAGGGCAGAGGCCAGGGATCTCGGCACAGCCCGGCCCCGCAACAGAGGATCGTCCAGCTCCGGTGTCAACAGGGCCAAGGCGGAAAACCCTGGTCACGGGGCATCTGGTCAAGTCCTCTGAGGATCAGAGCAGACCCTGGCCTGTTAATTCAGGGTCATCTTATTGCTATCAGTCACAGGGATGCAGAGACCAAAATCACCGCCACCAGATTCCATGGCAGATAGTACCAGACTCCAAGTCTCCAAAGGACCTGCACTGTTTTCACGGATCTCGGAGCAGAGACCATGGCCTGCTTCCCCGTGTGCCTCCACCACCTGGCGTGGCATCCAGAATACAGGAACTGGGCAGAGGGGCAGGAAGCAGGGAGAGAGGGCAGCCTCTTCAAAGAGGGGACCATGGCTTACCCCCTCCTCGGCTCAGCACCCAGCGCTGTTTCCAGCACCTAGCAGCCACCTCCAATTTCACAAAAAACCACTAGACGGAGCACTGCCCCGGGTCAGGGGCAAGGCCCCCCTCCCCTCCGACCCTGAGCCTAGCCGACCACATGGCTTACTCACCAAGCACCTTCAGCGAGCTGGGTGCAGGCGCGGCCCCGCTGGGCTGGCACGGTGGTGAGAAAGACGGACACCGGCCCGAGCCCTGGAACTCACAGTCCAGCAGGGGAGGTGGACCGAATGGGCCCCACGGTTCGAAAGCAGGCGGGGGGGGCTTCTGCAGGGAGACCTGGGGGCCTGGGGGACTCCTGGGACTGGCCCTGAACACAGACGGGGGGTGATGCTCCTTGAAACAGTGAGCGAAACCACATACAGTTCATCTCTGCACGCCCCGAGCAGGAGGGAAGGAGGGAGGGAGGTGGAAAGGGGGCTTCCAGTGGGAGTCAGGGGCCCCTCCTCGGCCCTGACTCACCTCTCCCCAGCGACCTGGCCCAGAAGCTCATCCCTGAAGGCAGGACTGAGTGCGTGGAATCCAGGGCCCAGACACCAGGTCCAGTGCCATCAAGGAGTAAGTCCCAAAATCAGCACCACAGCAGCTAACACGCAGTTATTCCTGCTAAGGGCCCAGGGCGATCCCAAGCCCTTCACTCCTGTGGTCGCGTCAGTCTTTATAACAGCCTTTCGAGAGAGGAACTATTCCCACCCCCATTTTACAGATTGGGCAACACAGGCACAGAGAGGGTAAGAAAGGGCTCAAGGTCACACGGCCAACACACGGGGGAGCTGGGCTCGGACCCCAGGCTGCAGGGCTGTGCCTGGAGCCCCTGGGACGGCCACGGCTTCGTCCCTCAGCCTTGAGCGGGCGCCCGGCACGGGGCTGCCGCGCTGTCTGGGAAGCACTCAGGTGAGCGGGAGGGACCAGGAGGACCCCACTCGGGGGGCGCTGGGAGGACGGGGGCCCCCGGGGCAGCACATCAAGAGGAGAAACTGGGGGACGGGTGGACAGAGTGCTCCAGCCAGGGGCCCCAGCGAGGGGTCTAGCCACGCTGCCCCCAGCAGAGCCTCAATGAGCAGGCCCCTCCCAAGGCAGCAGGATGCAAACACAAGAAGTCTCGCTGGGCATCCTCCTCACCAGGAACCAGCTGGGGGCTGAGGACGGGCAGCTTCCTGAGAGACCAGGGACTCACTCTCACCCCTTCAGCCCCCCCGGGCAGGGATGGCCGAGACTCAGGCCCCACTGTGCCTGTTGGGTACCAGCCAGCGCCCTCCCCTGTGCTGGGCGGAGGGTTACCAGACATCAGCCCCAGCCTGGCTGGCTCCTTGTCCATGGGATTTTCCAGACCAGATACTGGAGCGGGTTGCCATTTCCATATCCAGGGATCTTCCCAACCCAGGGATTGAACCTGGGTCTCCCGCGTTGCAGGCAGACTCTTTACCGTCTGAACCACCACGGTGCTCTCCCATTAGAAAGGTCTAAGCCTGCCCTCGTTCCGTCCTATGGAGTTTCCCAGGATGAGGCTCCTCCCTGCTGCGTGGACACTCATAAGCTGGCCCTCCTTCCGAGTGTCGATCACCAGGAGGTGTCCCAGGCTGGCACTATCCCCCTCTTGAGCTCAGCACACACTTCTTGGGTGCCCACTGCACGCCGGGGGTGAACAGCCTGGGATGTGACCTGGCTTGCACATCCTCCTTGCCAAGGTCATGGCACTCAGGGGAACACAGCCAGTTCAGCTCATCTCTGGGACGCTGACTCACATTGCCCACGTGCATGGATGATCAAGACCATCCCTCCAGAATTAGGTCCTGCGCTTTCCTGCTCACAAGTGTGAAATCAAAGCAACAGGAATTGACAGGGAAGCCCAGCGACTGCTCTCACTGGCAGGAACTCAAACTTAAGACTCACTGGATTGCTGAGCTTCTAGTATAACCAGGAGCCGGGTACGGGGCTTCGCGTGCACTTCGGGATGGACCAGCCGGGTCCCCACAGGAGGGGCCTCTCTCTCTCTCGGCTTCCAGAGGACAGCGGCTGAGTCTGCTCGCTGCTCCCCCTGAAATGCCTAGCGCCACACCTGGCTGCCAAGAGGGGTTCAATAAATGTGGGCGGGACTGAACCGAGCCAGAAAGCGGGCGCTCAGAGAAGCGCAGTGACCTCCCGAAGTCAGGCAGTCAGAGACAGTGAGCCTCTGCCCGCCGCCCTCCAAACTCCCCCAGCTGTGAGCCCGAGTGCAGCAGCCCCACCCTGCAGGACACGTTTCCCGGGGCAAAAGCCACCGCCCCCCGGGCCCCGAGAAAGCACAGGCCAGCACCACGGGAGACCTTATTAAGGAAAAGCAAAGAAAGGGACACCCGAAGCATGCTGGCGGAGGCAGGGCCAGCCTGTGAGTCACGCGGCCCGGAATATCCGGGTCACAGCTGGCTCCGGGGCAGGCTGGGCGGCCGCAGCCCCAGCATCTGACGGAGCGGCGTCAGGACCCGTGGGCCTCGGGCGAGGGGTCAGGCAGGCTCTGCCACCAACTCCCACCAGCGCAGGACAAGTCACTTCCTCTCCCACGCTCTGACTGTCTGGTCTGGGAGAAGGGCCAAGGGTCTGGGGCTGCCACTGCCCATGGGGCTGGGGGGGTGGGGGGTGGGGAGGGCCAAGCCAGAGGCAGCCTCCTGCTCCGGCCTGGACAAAGCTTGACCCACATCGCCCCGTCCCGCTGCGGAGTGGACCCTCTTCCGCCCCACCCCCGATGCCTGCAGGACGACCCCACGCTCTGGGGCTGCGGGCATCACCAGGAAGCCCCTCTCAGACCTGCAGGTCACTCTCAGCCTGAGAAACCATCCCTGAGGGCCTGAGGAGGGTGGGCAGCTGAGCACCGACGCCACCAGGGGCTTTGGGAACAGCCTCACCCCCGTCACAATGGCTCGATGAGGCACGAGGCACGGCCCCCATCTGTCAGAGGCAGCCGTGGAAGCTAAGCCAGGCGGGGCTGCCCGCACCCACACAGCCAGCATGACGAGCTCCCGAAGCCCCACTCCTACATCCTCATCCCTGCCTGCGGGTCAGCTCCCGGGGGACAGGGATGGGCATCCCTGGATGTCCGCCTTGTACAGGGTCCCCAAGAGAAGGCTTACTGATTGGCTGGGCGGTCAGTTCCACAGCCCCGCCCAGGCCCCAGGAGAGCTCCCTGGGATCCTACCTGCAGAATCACTGCATTCGGGTGTCCTGGACCCAGTCCTGCCTGTCAGGGACCCCACGAGGGCCTGCCCCCACCTGGCAAAAGGAGACACTGAGGCCCCGGCTCAGAGGAGCCAGAGAGCAAACCTCAGCACATTGGCATGGCCCCCGGAAGAGCTGAGAAACCGCTGGGGACCCAGCGAGGAGAAAGCATGGCTTTGCCAGGAGACCCTCTCGGCCCAGCTCCAGGCGACCCCCCTCGGCTGTGCAAACCTAGGCAGACCTCCCGCCTTCACCGAGCCTGTTTCCTCCCTGCTGTAAAGCAGACACAGCGCTGCTGACAGACCGCGGGACAGGAACGTCAGGCAAACGCGGTCACGGGGAACGGAACACGTGCCCTTTCCTTCGCAACAGGGGCTCACCCATCCCAACCCTCAGCTGGGCGGGAGGCTCAGAACCTGGCGCTCCTCCAGGCAGCCAGCCCAAACAGGTTTTCCTGGGAGTAGATTCTGTGGTTAATATTCACCTGCTTATGACCCAAATCTTCTAGGGCATCAGGCCTGCCTGAATCACTCAGCCCTGAGAACTCAAACCAAGCGGGGACGTGAAGTGGGAGGGGCAGGGAGCTGGCGCCAGGTGGGGTGCTGGATCCCAGTCCCTCCAGGCCCCCAGGCCCAGGCTGGCGGGGGAAGGAAGGTCCCTCCCACGACCCTACAGTGAGAAGCCCCGCCTGCAGCAGCCAGCTCTGAAGGCTCCAAGCCCATCAGATGATGATCCATCTCCAAAAGACCGTGGAAACCGGTGTGGGCATGTGAAGGGGAGGCTGGGACCGAGGGAGGCGGCATTTCGGATGAGACTGACCTGCCTCCCCCCGACCCTTTCTCGGCCTGGAAGCCGTGCCCTGTGTCATCCACCTGGGACCCGCCCATCTACATTCTGAACCATGACAGGAGCCAACTTCAGGGAACTCTTCCAAGAGGCCCACTGGGAGGGCCAGCCACTCACCCCTCTGAGAGACAAACACCCCGGACGGGGGTCATCTGCTTTGTTTTCTGACTCCCCCACCAGACTGTGAGCTCTGTGAGGGCAGAGGCGATGCTTTCCATCCCAGCGCAGCCCTCGGCACATGGCAGAGATTCAAGAGTGATGGGCGGATGGATAAAGAAATGGGTGGGTTAGAAGATCGATGGATGGATGAACACACGGATGGATGGATGGGTCTATAAAACAGTAAGTGAAAGAAATGACAGGAGTCCATAAGTAGTGACCCAAGGCCACTGGCCTCAGGGCTCTATTTCAACCTGGAATTCACCAGGAAGGCCAGACAGAGGAAGAGATGGTTGGCTGGCATCATCGACTCCGTGGACATAAGTTTGAGTAAGCTCCGGGGGAGAGGGAAGGACAGGGAGGCCTGGCGTGCTGCGGTCCACGCAGTCACAAAGAGCTGGACACGACTGAGCGACTGAACGACAACCAGCTCTGCCCAGGTATTCAGTCTGACCCAGTCACTTTCTAGACACGTTTCCCATCTGGCTGAACATCCCTATGTGATCGCTCTGCCCACTTCACCAGGCTGTAGCACATATGACATAAGGTCCAAGACTGCGTCTGACCTAACAGTTATGCCCTCAATGCCTTCCCCGGGCCTAGAGTACTGCATCAGAGAATGACAAGCAAATGAGGAAAAGACCTGGAGAGTTTTCTAAACAGGGTGACTTCTGATCCCAGCCAAGATCTGCTGGTTTAGAATCACTAAGGGTGGGACTCAAGAATTCGCATTTTGTTCAAACGCTTCCTGGAGATTCTGAAAATCGGCCAGGCCTGGGAAATGCCAGCTTGTAGGAAGCAGAGCAGCTGGCTCCTGAAGGCCGTGCCCAAGGAAGGGGCAGCACAGAACAGGGCCGCGCGGGGCCACCGCCAGGCCGGGCAGGTCGGCGCTCTCCTAAGCCTTTTTCCACTCAAAGGGTCTAACAGCCCTCTTCAAAGTGTGGCCGCTGAACTACTGACTTCAGACAACCTGAATGAGAGGGGGACTTTTAAAAATGTAGATTCTAAGGCCCAACCCCAACCTACAAGCTTGCAGTCTCCTGGGGTGAGGCTCAAGAATGGGCACTCTGCAGGCTGTCGGGGCAAGGCTGGCATGAACGTATGAGAATTACTGACTCCCGTCCCCAGGGTGCTCAGAGCAGCTGCCTGCATCTGGCACCTTCACGCACATCGAGCCCCTTGAGAGAGAAAAGTCCCATCTGCGCATCTTAGGCGTTCCCTGGTTGCCCAGTGGTTAGGACTCTGGGCCCTGGTTCAATCCCTGATCCAGGAAGCAAGATCCTGCAAGCCGCATGGCGCGGCCAAAACAGAAACCAGGGCATCTTGGACGATGATTCCAAGACCTGGCAAGGGAAGGCATGAGGCCAAAAGGTACTGAATGTGCCCACTGTTACGGACTTCCCTGGCGGTCCAGTGGTTAAGAATCTGTGCTTCCACTGCAGGGGACACAGGTTCGACCCCTGGTCAGGGAACTACCCTGCATGCCATGTGGTCAAAAAGCAAACAACAAATGTGCCCACTCCTCAGAACATCAGCCCTAAAGGGAACCAAGAAAGCACACACCCAGCCTCGTATCGTATAGATGTGGACACTGAGCCAGGGGGGTCTGCGTCTCGTCCACGGTCAGCAAAGAGCGAGGGGCAGAGCCAGCCCAGCAGCCAGGGGGCCATGCCCCAGCCTCCCCCACGGCCCGGCTGCCTACCTCCCCTCCTCCAAGCCTGCTCCCGGGTGAGCAGCTGCCAGCCTGGGCGTCTCAGCCAGTCCTGCAGCCCCTGGAAGACAGCGTGGCTTCACTCAGAGACTCCTACCGTCTCCACCATGGACGGTGATGAAGCCCCTCGCGCTCCAGGAAGGAGGGCGCTTCGGAGAATGGAAGGAGCAGACACAGTCTGGCATGGATCCCGGGGAGACTGGAGTGGGGCTCGTTATCACAGTTCAGTAGGGAGGTCCCCCCAGACTCAGCAGTCAGTCCACAGGGCCTGAGTGTAAACCGTCCCAGGGAACCAGCAGCATCAGTGTTTCTGTCTGCACAAGTGTTCTGGGGGAACACCTGTGTCCTGAAATATGCTAATAGAGTCTTACCGCAAAAAAAAAAAAAAAGTTCAGTGGTCAGACCACGAAGCACCAGAGAAGAAATCAAAGTGCTATGACCTCAGAGTCTGCTTAAATCATGACACAGATGAAGAAAGCTGGAGGCCGAGAGGATTACAGGCCTTGCCCAAAGTCACAGGGCTAGAGCGGGGGGCGGGGGGGATGAGCCTGCAGCCTGCCTCCAGGGTCCGGACGGCACCCAACGGGCTTATAGGGCTCCTCTCAGGAAGACACAGAGGACAGATGGACAGTGAGGGAGGGGGAGGGGGCGGTGAACGGGGAGGCGGGCGTGGATACATACAAACGGCCACGTGTGAAACAGCCAGCCAGCAGGAGGCTGCTGTGCACGCGGGGAGCTCCGCTCGGAGCCCTGGGATGGCCTGGGGCTGGGACGGGGTGGTGAGCGGGAGGCTCGAGACGGAGGGGATCTGTGTGTGCACACAGCTGATTCACACCGTCGGACAGCAGGAACTAACACAACACTGCCAAGCAGTTATATACCAATTACAAAAAAGAAAATTGCAGCAGAAATCCTTAAAAAAAAAAGGTTCCTCTCATTTACTATCATTGTTCTTGCTCTTGATCTTCTGATGGGAGGCTGCGGGGTGCGGGGGGGGGGGGAGGACAGTGGGAGGGGCTGGGCAGGAAGTCGTCCCTGTGAGCGCGGCCAGGAGGCGAGGCTGAGAATCCAGCTTCCCACTCCTCTGCTGTTCGTGGGTCTGCACTACTGGCTGTGGGACCTGGGGCGGGTCACAGCCCTTCTCCAGACTAGGATGTCCCGTATGTAAACTCAGGAGCTGGGACCGGGTAATCCCAGAAGGCCCTTCCAGTCCTAAACCCCACTATCCTGCCCTCGGCCCCCACTTCCCCCAGCTCTCCCTGGGCTCTGTAAACGGCCGTGGCCTGCGCCCCAGGCCTGGGCTGCCCGTGAGGCTGAGCTCTGGCCAACAACAGACTAAGCACAGTTTTGCTCTCCCGACTGTGACCCCCAGCGCTGCCCCTGGGCGTTTAAGTCCAGCCCTCACATACAGGTAACTATGGCGTGGCCCTCGGGAAAGCCGGCCAAACTCTTTAGACCTCAGTTTTCACATCTGCAGCGTAGCCAGTGATACCCTCCTCCCCGTTATCAGGGAGCCTGCCATTCAGATACACA